CATTAGCAGATGAAGTATTGTCAAGCATCGAGGAGAAGAAAACAGCTAAGGAGATATGAGATCATCTCACCAAATTGTATGAGGCCACATCGTTGCACAATAAAATTTTCCTTAAGAGGAAATTGTACACTCTTCGGATGTCAGAATCTACTTCAGTGATAGAGCAATTAAACACACTGAACACTTTATTTTCTCAGCTTACATCCTTAAGCTGTAAAATAGTAGAACAAGAACGTGCTGAACTTCTACTACAAAGTCTACCGGATTCGTATGATCAACTCATCATCAACTTGACAAACAATAATGTCACCAGTCTAGTCTTCAATGACGTTGCAGCTGTTGTTCTACAAGAAGAAAATCGGCGCAAGAACAAGGAAGACAGACAAGTAAATCTGCAACAAGCAGAAGCGTTGACAACGACGAGAGGGAGATCAACAAAACGTGGCCAAAGCAGCAGTCACAAACATGGTAGATCAAAGTCGAGGAGCAACAAGAATTTAAAGTGCTACAACTGTGGAAAGAATGGTCACTTGAAGAAGGATTGTTGGAGTCTAAATAAAAACTCCAATCCATAAGGCAATACCGCAAACACTTCAGATGATGGAGATGCATTATGCTGTGAAGCGTCAACCACCGTGGAAGGAAGAAAAAGATTTGCAGATATATGGCTCATTGATTCAGAAGCAACATATCACATGACCTCAAGAAGAGAATGGTTTCATCAGTATGAACATGTCTTAGGAGGATCTGTGTATAGTTGCAATGATCATGCCTTATAAATCATTGGCGTGAGAACCATCAAATTGAAGATGTATGATGGAACAATTAAAGTTGTTCGAGATGTGCGGCACGTGAAAGGCCTAAAGAAAAATTTATTATCCTACGGATTGTTGGATAATAATGCAAGCAAGATTGAAACACGGAAAGGAATCATGAAGGTGTTCCGTGGAGCGCTTGTGGTGCTGAAAGGCGAAAAGATAGCAGCAAACTTATACATGCTGAAGGGAGAGACTTTGCTAGAAGCAGAAGCCTCTGTTGCCTCATGTAGTTCAGATTCTGCAATGCTATGGCATCAAAAACTTGGACACATGTCAGAACAAGGAATGAAAGTCCTTGTGGAGCAAAAGCTACTTCCCGGCTTAACAAAGATATCACTTTCTTTGTGTGAGCATTGTATAACAAGTAAGCAGCATCGGTTGAAATTCAACACGTCAAATTCTAGAGGCAAAAATGTTCTAGAATTGGTACATTCTGACGTATGTCAAGCACCAGTTACATCCCTAGGTGGAGCAAAATACTTTGTCTCATTTATTGATGACTACTCTAGGAGATGTTGGGTGTATCCTATTAAGAAGAAGTCATATGTGTTTTCAACTTTCAAAATCTTCAAAGCGCGGGTGGAACTTGATTCTGGAAATAAGATCAAGTGTTTCAGAACAGATAATGGAGGAGAATACACAAGCGGAGAATTTGATGACTTTTGCAGGAAAGAAGGCATCAAAAGACAGTTCACAGTGGCAAACACTCCTCAACAAAATGGAGTGGCAGAGCGGATGAACAGAACCTTGTTAGAAAGAACAAGAGCAATGTTGAGGGATACAGGCCTAGAAAAATCATTCTGGGCAGAAGCAGTCAATACCGCTTGTTATTTGGTGAATCGAGCTCCATCAACTGCAATAGAGCTGAAGACACCAATGGAGATGTGGACTGGTAAACCAGCTGATTATTCAAACCTCCATATATTTGGAAGTATTGTGTACGTGATGTACAACTCCCAAGAAATCTCAAAGCTGGATCCAAAATCCAGGAAATGCAAATTCTTGGGGTATGCTGATGGAGTCAAGGGGTATCGCTTGTGGGATCCCACTGCCCGCAAAGTGATCATCAGCAGGGATGTTATCTTTGTAGAAGATAAGATACAAAGAAAAGAAGAAGATGGTAGCGCTGAAAAGTCAGAGACTACGCAGATACATGTGGAAAAAGAGTTTGAACAAGGAGATTCTTCTGAAGCAGAACCAATACATGATGAACATGAACTAGAGAGTTTTGAAGCTCCAACAACTCGTCAATCAGATTGTGTGAGAAGACGTCCCAATTGGCACTCAGATTATGTTATAGAAGGTAATATTGCATACAGCCTTTTAACAGAGGACGGTGAGCCATCAACATACCAGGAGGCAATAAAAAGCTCAGATGCTTCACTGTGGATGATGGCAATGCAAGAAGAAATTGAAGCCCTTCATAAAAATAATACATGGGACCTTGTGCCACTACCACAAGGAATGAAGCCAATTGGTAACAAATGGGTCTTCAAAATCAAGCAAAATGGTGACGATCAAGTTGAGAGGTATCGTGCAAGACTGGTGGTCAAATGATATGCTCAAAAGGAATGTATTGATTTCAATGAAATATTTTCTCATGTGGTTCAACTAACAACAGTTCGAGTAGTTTTAGCAATGTGTGCTACATTGAACTTACATCTAGAGCAACTAGATGTTAAAACAACTTTTCTTCATGGAAATCTTGAAGAAGAGATTTATATGCTCCAGCCTGAAGGTTTTTAAGAAGACGAAAAGAAGAACTTGGTTTGCAGGTTGAACAAATATATGTACTGTCTAAAGCAGACGCCGAGGTGTTGGTATAAGAGATTTGATTCCTTCATTATGTGCCTTAGATACAATAGACTTAATGCTGACCCTTGTGCTTATTTCAAGAGGTCTGGTGATAACGATTTTGTTATATTGCTGTTGTATGTGGATGACATGTTGGTTCCAGGACCCAACAAAGATCATATTGAAGAATTGAAGGCACAACTGGCTAGGGAATTTGAAATGAAGGACTTGGGATCAGCAAACAAGATTCTAGGGATGCAAATTCACTGAGACGGAAGTAATAGGAAGATTTGGCTTTCACAAAAGAATTACTTGAAGAAAATCTTGTCACGATTTAGCATGCAAGATTGTAAGCCAATTTCTACCCCTCTTCCTATTAACTTCAAATTATCCTCCAGTATGAGTCCTAGCAGTGAAGAAGAGAGGATGGAGATGTCTCGAGTACCGTATGCATCAGCAGTGGGAAATTTAATGTTCGCTATGATATGCACAAGACCAGACATTGCACAAGCAGTGGGAGTGGTTAGTCGGTACATGGAGAATCCAGACAAAGAGCATTGGAATATTGTAAAGAGGATCCTAACATACATCAAAGGGACCTCAAATGTTGCATTATGTTACAGAGGATCAAACTTACTTATAAATGGGTATGTCGATTCTGACTATGTAGGGGATTTGGATAAAAGTAAATCTACTATAGGATATGTGTTCAAAGTTGCTGGTGGAGCTGTAAGCTGGGTTTCAAAATTGCAGTCAGTTGTGGCTACATCCACAACAGAGGCAGAATATGTAGCAGCTACACAAGCCAGTAAAGAAGCAATTTGGTTGAAGATGCTATTGGAGGAGCTTGGGCACAATCAAGAGTTTGTCTCTCTGTTTTGTGACAGTCAAAGCGCCTTGCATCTAGCAAGGAATCCATCATTTCATTCAAGGACAAAACACATACGAGTTCAATACCATTTCATTCGTGAAAAGGTGGAAGAAGGGAAGGTAGATATACAGAAGATCCATATCAAAGACAACATAGCAGATTTCATGACGAAGGCGATCAATACCGATAAATTTACTTGGTGTCGATCCTCTTGTGGCCTGTCAGAGACGTAAGTAACATGATGGTACAAGGTAGAAAGAATGGTGTGAAGATATGATTGTTTCAATCAAATCTTCAAGTGGGAGATTGTTGACTATGCACCGAAAGTGTGCATAATAAATGCAGCTTTCGGTGCTGCTTGAAAAAAAAAGGGGCAGCAGCTATTGCTGAATTTTGGAAATGGTAGAACCTTAATTTTAGCCATTGTAATTTAGGATATTTACAAATTAGTCCTTAAAGCTTCAACTATAAATACCCTAGCTTATTTAGCTTCAAAACCATCCCAAAGCATTCTAGCTTTCTTCCAATACTAGAGAGATTTTAGAGAGTTTCTTGAGAGTTGTTTTCTCCTTTTTATCTAGAGAGAATTATCATTGTTTTCTCCTTGGTAGATCGAGAGAGGTTGTAATTCCTATTTTCTCATAGTGAAATTCTTCTACCGTTGCCCGTGGTTTTTTACCCTATATTATTCAGGGGTTTTCCACGTAAATTTTGTGTCTCTTTTATCTTTATTTTTTATTTTCTCAAATTATCAGTTGTGATTTTGCTCTATCCGATAGCCGTCTTCCGCAACACACAGAACATGTAACGTCATGAACAAAATCTTAAACAAGTCGATCAATCAATGTGTTGAGTTGATGTTTGTATAAGGATGGTTTGAATTGTGTTGTTCATTCTCATCTACCAACATATATTAAGGTGTAAGACTTTAACTTTTGGGCATTGCAGCTCAAAAGCACTTGGAGCAGTAACATTGACACTGCAGAAACTGGGAATATATAAACAAAAGAAATTGAAGTGGAGATACTAAGCAGTTGAGACATTCATGGTCTTCATTTTCACACTGGCTATGGCCCTCAGCTGCATCTCAAACAAGTGCTATCGACCCATAATGTAGTGGTTCTACATGGACCGGACTTGGCAGAACCGAATCATTGGGTCGAGTTTGCATGGAATTAGTATTTTTCACTTTCAATTATAAAATTGTGTAAACTACATAAATGATCACTAATGTTTGAGTAATTTTTCTTTAAATCATTGAAGTTTCAAAATTAATATATTAGCCACTAACACTATTGATTTGTAATAAAATAGTCTCTCGTCTTTAGCAGCCATGGTTATATTGCATTTCTTGTTGCCATCGTGCTCTCATGTTTCTTCCATATGTTATTCGTTCAGTTTCATAAAAGACCTTGTCTCTTGATAATGATAATGAAATTCAAAGACAGAAAAGGGAGCGTCGGTAAACTTGCATAATATGATATATAAATATAAAATCAAGTTTTACAATGTCGTTGTTAATGATCTGAAATTGCACTAGGAATCAAGGCATCCTTTACTATCATTACAATACCACTCTGTATGAAATATCCATTCGTTTCCTTTGCAGCTTCTTGCACATTGTCGTTGTTAATGATCTGAAATTGCACCCACCATTCATCTCTTTTCCCAACGAGATGGGTTTAATTAATGGAGTAAAAAAACAGTAACCTTCACATCGTCACCAATTCGAGCATTATTGTCAATAATGGCTTTCTTGATGTACGAATTCTTTCTTATACCAATTGGAACACTCCCCTTTTCAGCTAGAAACTTTCTGTCAGCCTCAGTCTGCAGGAAGAAGAAGACAATGACGAGATTAATACAGATTATTACCAATGAAAAATGTGCAACTAAAAAACTTTGAGGGTATTCTATAGTACCTCGTAATAATCTGCTCCCATCAGTAAGGTATCCTCTATGATTGCACCCTGTGAAATGAAAGACCGAAGACCAACAACAGAGTGGTGAATTCTACAGTTTTGCCATCGATCAACCCAAGTATTCAAATTTCCATTTTAATCCATTGGCCAATTGACAAAACTAAGCAGATTATCCCCAAAGAACAAATCTTAACAATACCGCCAATAACACCGCCACAGTAATATCAGCACTAGTCTTGTGCCGGAATAAACCTTTCATAATCCATTCTATATAAATGGTCCCTAGCAAGAACCAAGAATTCTAGAATATTATGCTCTCCAAACAATCACAAATACTGTCTTACAATATCTGTTGTCTAATGTACACTCGTTTTAAAAATTAAATATTATATAATTCATAAACAATAGAATCCATTTTAGTAGTAGCTAACTTGGAATCAGTTTGGATTTTCTTGTATTGATAACTCAAACTAATTCTAAGTTAGCTACTACTAAAATGGATTCTATTGGTCATGAATTATATATATATTTTTTACTTTTTATTTTTAAACGAGTGTACAGGGGACAACAGATGCTGTGAGACAGTATTTATAGTTGTTTGAGAAGCATAATATTATGGAATTCTCTGTTCTTGTTGGAGACCATTTATATAGAATGGATTATGAAAAGTTTAGTATAACACATAGAGAGACTAATGCTGACATTACTGTAACTGCATTTCTGATGGATGAGAAATGGGCTACTACATTTAATTTGATGAAGAAGGGCGTATAATTGAGTTCTCTGAGAAACTCAAAGAAGTCCGGAAAAGGAGAAAAAGAAATCAGTAAGAAAGGAGGCAATGAAGAAGAGCCCAAGCAAGAGGCAGAAGCAGGGGCGGAGATTTATCAAATAGAGAGGTGGTGCTTATATTAATAAATAATCTACACGGAAATAGAATGAAATGGTAGGTTCACAACAAAGATGACATGCATTGTTATTATTATTATTATGAATATATCCACTACTTATAATTAATGCAATTTGCATGCGAATCTCCAAAAAGAAAAAAAAAGAAAGAAAGCAATCTTCATTTATTTTACTTATCAAACCAAACCAAATAGGGAAATCTCTGCCGTCCATTAAAGCATCCACCATTCATTAATCTCCTTTTACTACGTCTGCTATTCGCCGCGTATACCTATTTTATTATTGAAAGAAAAGAAATACTATTTCCGTGCAAACTCGACCCAATGATTCATGTCTGCCAAGTCCAAAGAACTTTACATTATTGGCCGATATTTCGCTTCACAATGGTTGTTCTTTACAAATTTATTAGATCAATTGGATACTAATTCAGTTGATATTATTTTTTATAATAATTTAAAAATTTAAATTCAAATATATATATATATAAATATATTATTTCTTTCAATTTTAGAATTTTAAAAAGGGAACTCTATATCATATATCGCTCAGCTTTATACGAAGTATAGATAAACTTTCGGTTGTTTCAAATATAATATTAAACTTTGATTTTGACTTTAATTATATTATTAGGCCGTTAACCGTTAAAATTCAAAAAATGTGATGACATGGACAAAACAATATTGCTTTGGTACATCTATTGATGCCCAAAACGATATCGGTTTAGACATTGAACTTTAAGGGTGTATCGATTATTCAACTACACTTTAAAACATATCACTTTTTGGCACTACACCTTTCCAACCGCCGTTGATAGTCAATCATCATCCATCATTGATCGCCTTTCACGACAAGACGCGTATCAAAACGTTTAAATTTCAAATCCCATGTCTTCTCATAGATCGATTTTCCACGAAGCTCGCTTAAAAATTGACGAAATTAAACAAAAAATCCACCACTTTTTGGGGGTTCGGGGGCTTTCTCATATTTGAAAGGTTTAAGGTGTTTGCCCGAAAATCCAACAGTGAGAGGCGATATTTCAAGAAGACGAACAATATATCCCAAAATTAGTCTCATTGAATGGTCATAAGAGAATATCAGAGTATTAGCACATCAAATCTTTTGATGAATTTCGGCAATTTTTTAGTGAGTTTCACGAAAAACCAATCATATGAGAAGAAATATGAGTGAAATGTGAACATTTTGATACCAATCTTATTGCAAAAAGACAATCAGTGACATGAGATGATTGACTACAAACGGCAGTTGAAAAAGACTAGTGCCTAGACATTTTTAAAGTTTAATGACAAAATCGATAAGCCCCTAAAGTTTTTTTATTAGATACTCCCCTAAAGTTCAATATATAAAACGAAGTCGTTTGGGCATCAATAGTTGCGGCAAAAGGACACCATTTTGTCCGTGTCATCACAGTGACTAAAAGATTCATCAATATCTTTGGGACGTTAAAATTTAATGGTTATATAATTAAAGTTAGAACCAAAATTTAGTGCAATAATTCAAACATTTAAAATTTTAATGGTAAAAACATTATAAAGCCTCAAATTTAATGATATCGGACGTAGTTTATCCTCTAAAAAAATATGTGAAGTCATGGATAAATGGGTTAGCTTAGCAGTTGCGTGAGATGCAGCTGAGTGCCATGGCCAGTGTGAGAATGAAGACCATGAATGTCGCTTTCATTTATGTCCGGCTGCTTAACATCTCCACTTCAATTCTTTTGTTTATATTATTTTGTGAATTTAATGAGCTGTAATGCCCAAACGTCAGAGCCTTACATCTTAATATATGTTGGTCGCTGAGAATGTACAACTCAATTCCAAACATCCTTCATACAAACATCAACTCAACACATTGATTGGTCGACTTGTTTAAGATTTTGTTCAGGACCTTACAAGTACTATATACTTGTCTTCTTCATCCAAATAATATAAATATATTATTCTAAAACTTGATTATATATTTATATATCATATTTTGCAAGCTTAGCCACGTTGACTATATATAACTCTGGCAAGAAAATGATCTGATAATCAAGGTTGGTCATTCCCCTTTTAGGCAAGACCCAATAGTCAAATGCATTTTGACATTATCTCCCTCTTCGCTTCCCTCTTCAACATGATCATCGTCATCTTTCTCGTCACCTTTACCTTCTTCCTTTGTCAACACAACCACCAAAACACTTTTTTGACGATAAAGCTTCACATTCATACTCCATCAGATTTTTTTTTCAAAGCATTCATATAAAAATATAAATATAAACAATTGAATATTAACATGATTAGTATCTTTAAGCATGGATGAACACAAGACTTTTTTGTTAGAGGAGGCGAACTTCTAAAATTTTATGAGAGGTGGACTTATAAAATTCTATGGGACAAAAATATATTATCAATAGAAAATACAAAGAAAAAAAATCTAAGATATATAAATAATTTATATATTATATCAAACTATATTTTTAACATGTTATCGATATAAGTGTAACATGGAGTTGCATCGGAGATGAAAACCTTACTAAGATAAAAATCTCGTGAGAAAAAAAATTAATTAAGGAAAAAGAGTACACACATCTTTAATACACATAACATGTTGCCTCATTAAAAAAAATCTTACCAAGAATGCTTAGTGTGACAAAACCTTGATTAAGGAAAAAATAGTACAACGCGTATTTACTTCCCCTCATGACAATATCACATAAGATTTTTTAGTATTACAATTCAACCTTGAATACAATCTTCAAATCTTCAAGTAAACAATACACTGATGAATAGATCTTTTAAAAAATCACTTGAACGGATTAGTCGAATATTTATATTATTATTCTTGTGATGATCATGAAGGAGAAAACTTTAGAAAAATATGTTTCCTTTATAGTATCACCTTTTCAGTTGAGTACATTTTGCATTGTCTTTGTACAAGATAGTTGACATCTTATCATGTGAAACCGAATCACATATCTTCTGGATATGCTAGGTCTAAATACTTTCTCGGCTTATCTCGTGTATAATAATTATTTCCACATTATTTGTATAGACATCAAATAATGTTTGAAAATCTCATGTATAATAATTATTTCCATATTATTTTTATAATAATTTTTTTCACAAAAAGTCATATTTAAGTACCCAATCTACGGGTCGAAACAAAATATGATGCACTTGCATCATATTTTCAAAAATAGTGTTTGAAAATCTCATGCATAATAATTATTTCCCCAAATCATTTATACACTTGTATTACATCTTTAGGTGTTTAGACTACTTATACATATTTTCGAAATTGATTTAACTTCACTTAAATAATGTCTTTCCAATAATGTCTTTCCATTTTAGCCAATTATTTTCACATCAATACTCCTAGATAGATTTCAAATTAAGATCCTCATTTTATTTTTTTACTTCCATAGAAATATTGTTTGTAAATCATTATCGACAATTTTTATATTTTGGTTACATTATTTTCTCGTAGTGGCATAACTTATGGAGATCTCTTCATTATATTCATTTTCATTTTTCATGTATCTAAAACTCTTCTAGAGTTGTATTATTAGTTATGTCTTGAGTCTCTTTAGGAACATTCATTTTTATTGTATGACCATCTTATATTTTTTTTGAAAGATGAGTACTTTGTATTAATAAATATACAAGTTACACCACCCCATGGACCTCATTAAAAAACCTCCCTAAACCTATTCTGAGGAAAAAGAGTGAACCATGAGGTGGAAAGAACAGGAAGCCAGAGACAAGCTCCTGAGAAAGCAAACACTGCCTGAGATACAAGCTACTACAAAGACACATCTAACCTGCTGCTATAAACACGGCTGCAAACAGAGATGGGAACCAACGGAAAAGACCACAAAATAGAGCAACAAAACAACTTAGCACATAACCTCCTGAGGAGAAGCATCAAAGCAGAATATCAACAACCAACTGAAACAAAGAACGACCTCAAACTTCAAACTAAAACCTAAAATTCAAGGGTACTACACAGGCCACGAATAGAAAGACCAAAGCTCCAAAATGCTATCCCAAACATCCCCGAAACGAACAACAATCGATCCAAACCCCTTTAGCCAAACAAACAAAACTAAGAAGATCTCCAAGATCGAAAACATTTGCCTAAACAACCCCAACAATACTCTAAATAACATCAACGCGAGTCTAAAGACAAAAGCTTCTAAAGAACCACCATTCCAGGACTACCGACCATAAGTCCGAGTTGCCTATCTACAGACAATGCCTCTTGCGCTTCAATAAAAGCTTCAACCCACCTTTGCTTTAAAACAGAATCTGAAATAGATGTACCCGATAAATCAGATAAAAGATCTGATTG